AGTTTCACAGCTTCATCAGAAGGAAGTTTCACAGCAGGTTGGAGAAACACAGCAAGTTTCACAGCTTCATCAGGAACAAGTTTCACAACAGGTTGGAGAAACACAGCAAGTTTCCCAGCTTCATCAGAAGGAAGTTTCACAGCATGATGAAGAACCACAGCAAGTTTCACAGCTTCACCAAGAACGAGTTTCACAGCAGGTTGGAGAAACACAGCAAGTTTCACAGCTTCATCAGAAGGCAGTTTCACAGCATGATGAAGAACCACAGCAAGTTTCACAGCTTCATCAGGATCAAGTTTCACAACAGGTTAGAGAACCACAGCAAGTTTCACAGCTTCATCAGAAGGAAGTTTCACAGCAGGTTGGAGAAACACAGCAAGTTTCACAGCTTCATCAGGAACAAGTTTCACAACAGGTTGGAGAAACACAGCAAGTTTCACAGCTTCATCAGAAGGAAGTTTCACAGCATGATGAAGAACCACAGCAAGTTTCACAGCTTCATCAGAAGGAAGTTTCACAGCAGGATGGAGAAACACAGCAAGTTTCACAGAACAGAACAGAACAAGTTTCACAGCTTCACCAAGAACAAGTTTTACAGCAACATCAAACACAAGTTTCAGAGCACAACCGGGAGGAAACACAACAAAGTTCACATCAGTACCAAGACTTAGTTTCACAGCATCAGCAGCAGAAAGATGAACCACTAGAGGAAACAGAACAAGCTTCACAGCACAATCAACATAATAAGGAAACGCATGAGGATTCCCAGCATCACGAGCGGAGTGATGATGAAACGCAGCAAAAGAACGAGAGCACAAATCAGGCATCACAGCTTCACCTAGAAAGACAGAGAAGCCAAGAAGAAAAACATGATTCGAATGGTGAAATAGATCACATTTCGCAGCATCACCCACAGCATGTCTACCTAGCTGGGTCCAGAAAAGAGGTAATGGGTCTTGATTTTTTTTTTTATGTAGTTCTCTTCCCGCTCCGCCTCCTCGCTCTCTGATCGCATCCCCCCCCCCCCCCGCTAAACTAAATTAAACTCTCATTCTCTCTCTATATCTCTCTCTCTCTCTCTCTCTTTCTCTCTCTCTATCTATCTATCTATCTCTCTCCCTCTCTCTCTCTCTCTCTCTCACTCTCTCCCTCTCTCACTCTCTCCCTCTCCCTCCCTCCCTCTCTCTCTCTCTCTCTCTCTCTCTCTCTCTCTCTCTCTCTCTCTCTCTCTCTCTCTCTCTCTCTCTCTCTCTCCCTTGTAGTAATGATGCATGGCAGACCGAAATGGTGTACATTTAAAGGTGGCTTCGGAGATTTACTGGAGTCAAATTGGTCGTACAGGAAGTGACTAGACGTGCTGTCTAAGAAGGCCTAAGTAAGAACGGATAACACAGCCAATGCAAGTTGTGTTAATTAACGCGTTTCGATCAAATTTTCGCCGGCATGATTTGTATTCTGGGGAAGATTTAATCGACTCGTTCAGTTAGCAAGCACATCACTCGTTATTACCTCCGCCAAGGAGGTTATGTTTTTGACGGCGTTGGTTTGTTAGCAGCGTAGCTCAAAAAGTGCTGGCCGGATTTCATCGAAATTTTGGGGACAAGTCAGAAAGGGACTAACTTAGAACCAATTAAATTTTGGTGACATTCCGAATTACCGTCTGGACGCTGCAGCGGTGTAAGTACATCCGAAAGATAATCATGATATTTTTGGACTTGGCCGTGTCCCGGGTGTCACTGTGGATGCAGTAGCGGTGCAAGTACATCCGAGCGATAATTATGAAACTCCGAGCTGTCTGATCCTTTTCATCCTCAACCAAAGTATATATATTATATACGCACATTGGCGGAGGTCTGCACTCTCTGAGTGCTTTTCTAATTCATTTTAGTTATATCCTTGTTTCTTCTCCATAACCTACCCAGAACTTTTCACATTCTTTTTAAAACCCGAGGTCAAAGGTGAATGAAGGGAATGTTTGGGTCGACCTCTTGAAGATCCTATTTTTACTCTTCTCCATTTTCCTCAGACGTGCCTGCCCCCGCTCACCGTCACAATCTCCGTCCCAACTTACCTCACTACAACGGCCACCAGCAACCACACACTCCTCTCATTTGTCCTGGAACCCACATACATCACGGAGACCCAGTATGTGACGGACACTGAGACCTCAACTCGTTACACAGAGACCGTCATGGCCCTGCGGAAAGTGGTAAGTGTCACAGAGACAGAAACGGAATTTGTTACCCAGCACGTCACAGAACGCGTGACGGCCACAGAACTGCAAACTAATTACGTAACATTCACAGTAGAGGTTGAAGATTACGTCACCGCCACGAACGATTGCCACAGTCCCGTTAAAGGTGGTTTTTAATGTACTTCACTTGACTATGTAATTATTGCATCACTTTCGTGCGATGATTTTTCAAAGGAACATTTCAGTTTGTCGGATCATTATTACAACAGTCATCAATGTTGATGATTATATCATTAGTATCATCTTCGCCACTAGTGTTTTTTATTATTGTTTTTGTTATTATCATCATATTCATTATCATTATCATTATTGCTGTTATTATTATCATTATTACGATTATTACTAGTGTGGTTATCCTTATTGTTACTATTATTGTTACTAATATCAGTATTATTGTTATCATTATTATATTATTGTTATTATAATTATACTATTATCATTATTATTATTATTTTTAATATTGTTATTGTTATTGTTATTGTTATTATTATTATTATCATTATTATTATATTTGTCATTGTTATTATTGTTAATATTATTATTGTTATTATTATTATTATTATTATTATTATTATTATTATTATTATCATTATTATCATTATTATTATTATCATTATTATTATCATTATTATCATTATTATCATAATTATCATTATTATTATTATTACTGTTATTATTATCATTATTATTATTATTATTATTATTATTATTATTATTATTATAATTATTGTTTTTATTATTATTACCATTGTAATTATCATTATTATTATTATCATTATTATTATCATTATCATTATTATCATTATTATTATTATTATTTATTCTTTTTATTGTTGTTATTTTATTATTATTATTATTATTACTATTTCATTATTGTAATAATAATAATAATTATTATTATTATTATTATTATTTTATTATTATTATTTCTATTTTTATCAGCATCATTACAATTATCATTATTATTATTGTATTTATTATTTTTTTTAGACACCAGCTCGCCTCGATACAGAGCAAACCACGTGCCGTACTTGTTGTTATTGTCTGCAATTTTTTTTCTTTCTTTCTTTTTTGTCCCATGTTCTTGTGAACGTAGGGGGTATGTTCGTAGAGAAACATGCTTACTAGGCCGCGGGATGATGCGGTAGGGTGGCCAGTTCCTTTCCGCCCCGATTTTGACCCCAACATGCTAACGTCAGCATATCAGTACTCATTCACAGCTGAGTCGACTGAGAGGGGCATACGGCTGGCATATCGGCTGACAGGCTCCTCTTTCCCTGCGATTAATCATTATCACAATCATTATTATTATCATTATTATAATCATTATTATTATCATCATTATTAGTGTTATTCTCATTACTATTATTATCATTATTATTATTATTATTATTATTATTATTATTATCATTATTATTATTATTGTCATTATTATTGTCATTATTATTATTATTATTATTACTATTAGTAGTAGTATCATCATCATTGTTATTATTATTATTATTTTATTATCATGATTATTATTATTATTATTATTATATTTTTGTTATCATTATCATTATCATTACTATTATTTGGATTATTGTTATTGTTACTTCTATCAATATCATTACTATTATCATTATTATTGTTACTATTACCATATTATTGTTAATATTGTTATTATTATTATTACTATTATTATTATTATTATTATTATTATTATGATAATAATAATAATTATTATTATCGTTATTATTATTATTATTATTATGATAATAATAATAATTATCATTATCGTTATTATTATTATCATTATTATTAAACTCGCCCGCATGCGAGTGTGTGTGTAATTCATTAACACACATACTATTATTATCCTTATTATTATCATCAGTATTATTACCAGTACTAGTGTTATCCAGTCCTGGGTAAGACGTTAAAGTGCACCCTGGGTTGCAGTTTGGAAAGGCATAGTGCCCATTTTCCACCCTTGGTTGGGGTAAAACCAAAACTGTTGCAACAGGGGCAGTGGATGCATGCTGGAGGCTCATTCAGTGCAACTGAAAATGATGGCTTCAACAAGCACGTACGTCTGGCAAGTACTCAGTCCTACTGAAGAAATGGCAGAGGTGCACCTTCCGGTAGAGGAAACCTGCGGCAGTGAAAGTGTACTGGGAACCATACTCTGCTATTCTTCCCGATTATCCTCCATGATGTTAGTACAGAAAAGAAAAAACTCATGCCTCATCGCTCGTCGCGTGGACTACCAAGGAAAGCGTTGCCCAGTGGGTAACCAGGCTGGCAACGAAAAATATGCTATTTTGAGAAGCAATTTGTTTGAAAAAGATCTAACAGGTTGTTCTATGGCAAGAGAAAAAAAAGGTAGACCCAAAACACGCTACAGTGATAACATCAAAGAGATCAGTGGCTTGAGTTTTGCTGAAATTTGTAGACTCAGAATAGAGACGCTTGGAGGACCAAGGCAATTCAGCAATGAATTGACCGTTCTATGATGATGACTAATGTTATCACAATTTGTATTATTATATCATTACTATTAGTATTATCATTATCATTATCATAATAATTGCTATTATTATAATTGTTCTTATAATTTATATTAATTATCAATTGTTATTGTTTTTATTGTTATTATTATAACTTTTAAGATTATTATTATTATTATTATTATTATTATTATAATTACTTTTTCATTAATGACTGCCGCAATAGCTCGGTGGTAAGAGCACTGGACTCCGACCCTCGTGGTCACGGGTTCAATTTCCCGTCGCGGGGAATTGAGTTGAGTTAATTATCATTATTATTGTTATTATCATTATTATCATTATATTATTATTATTATTATTATCATTATTATTATTATTGTTATTATTATTATCCTCATCATTATCAGTATAGTAGTAATAGCACACACACACACATTATAAACATACACGCGCATATGAAGAAACTTCCATCCAGATACTCCTATGACCCAACGAGTATCAGTTCTTATGAAGTGCTACCACTCCCAGTTACTGCTGCCTCCATTTTGGCTGTTATTGCTTTGTCTTGTTTCCTCTCTCTTACTTCTCTTTGTTCTGTGCCACTTCCCCACATTCCAAAAATCTCGAGAATCATTATCACAATAATGATGATCAAGCACACAGCCATGGTACAACCATAGACTAAAGTTCATATTGAAGAAGGAACTTCCATCCGAGTATTCCTATGACCCTACGAGTAGTATCAGCTCTCACATCTGGCTTCGTCTGCATTTATCTGCTTGATTTATTTTGTCTACGATATCTTTATTTTGTTTCCATCCTCTTCCGTGATATAAATCTTTAGCATTGTCCAGTATTCCATTATACTCGAGAATCATAATCACAATTATAGTGGTCAAGCACAACACCATGGTACCGCCGTAGACAATACTCCTTTTAAGCAAAACATAATCATCGGCCGACAACCCGTCGTAAGTGTGTGCTATTACGCTCAGAACACTTACCACCGTACTTGAAAATAAAACAAAAATAATTACGCCTTTGTACAAGATCTAGTTGTGCTCTCCAACGCAGCAGGATAAGAGTGAACTGTGGAATAATCTAGTTCGGATACACATGTTACACAAAATACAGTAGGTGTAGTCTGACACTGGGTGTACTCTAGAACACGCGTTGCAGCTTTCTGTGGCACTTCCGTCGTCTTCTGGCTTGTACGACATATCAATCCAGATAGAGGTACTTGCGAGGAGGATGGCTATAGTAACTCCGGCGTAGTATACTCCCCTGATTGCTGTTTTGTATGCCCTAAATACGTTTGTAAATATATGCATCAGCTACCCTTCTGTGAAAATTGCTAAGCCTAATACAAGTCTAAAAGCAAAAAGGGCATTATGTTCTCGTTTCAATCTCCCCAATATATCTCTTTGAAGATATACTGCTGGTCGACAATGCTGAAGACCAAACAAGGTCAACATATCCAACTTTTGTACGTTTATTTCGAAGGTTTTGTAATCCGATACATCTGTAGTAGCATGTCGAGCAATCCTGCGATAAAGACGATATAGGAATTTCATGAAAGTTAAGTTGACCAGAGGCACGTGGCAGAAACACTAAATCATCGTTAAAACATACCCTATGTATCGCGGAATCTCCATAAATGCGTTATCCCATCTTCTATACAACATCATGAATACTGCATATGCTTGAAATATTAAAAAAGTTATAAATACTTTCTTCCTCACAAATACCTCAAGTATACGGAAATTTGGAAATGAAATAAGACTTGAGAGGTGTAATTCTAAACTATTCCTTTCACTATCGCTGTCCGAAAGGGAGATTTACCCCGTGCACACTAAGTACATCCACAACACAAAAAGATGGAACAACTTGTCATCCTCAACAGTTGGCGCCACAGGTGTGTAATTCTGCCGATGCAATATGTTGATGGTATCCTAAATCAACGATATCCTGATTTTGATTAAGCGTTCGAAGTGTTCCCAGTACTCCTTGAATGTAGACTTCTTAGGCCTCTTCTTCTTAACCCTCTGTTTTATATTCTTCCAGAAGGTTACCAACCATCGGTTAGAGAATTTAGGAGTGAAATTAGCATCTGGATTAACGTTCCCATAAGCCACGCGCAGGTATTCGAGGTTAATCCGGAGATCTATCTTCATTTAGGCAAGGCAATTGTATATTTTCCTGTTTTTATGAATCAGCTCCGGTTTGCAGCGTTTCAGAGAATTCGCAGCGGCCTTCACAGCATCAGAAAAATCTTATTCGTAAACATTGGCACCTGATGCACACATGCCTCATTCAAGGAACGATATGTTTGTACATAAAGCGTCGGGTAGACATACGATTTGGGAGACTGACAGTAAAGAGACTGTGTGTAGGTGTGCGTGCACGCGCGCATGTGTATATGTGATTGTGTGTGTGTGTATGTACGTGTGTGTGAGAGCGTGCGTGTGTGTACGTATATATGTTTGTATATATGAGAAATAGGTAGATAGATAGAGAGCGTCTGTGTGTGTTTAAATGTGTATGTGGATGGTGTGTGTGTGTGTGGTGTGTGTGTGTGTGTGTGTGTATATGTGTGTGTGTGTTTGTGTGTGTGTGCGTGTGTGTGTGTGTGTGTGTGTGTGTGTGTGTGTGTGTGTGTGTGTGTGTGTGTGTGTATGTATGTGTGTGTGCGTGTGTGTGCATGTGTGTGTGTGTGTGTATGGTGTGTGTGTGTGTGTGTGTGTGTGTGTGTGTGTG